ACACACCTTTGTAAAAAGGTGCAAATGATACTTAGTCTTATTAATTGATACATTAGGTATCATTTGCGCCTTTTCACAAAGGTGTGTTTGAACTAAGAATTTGATGTTCCCTTCAGGCTGTAGATCTGCTGAATATCCAATGATACCATAGCTTCATATTTTTATTTCTCTTCTTTTTACTGCCTAAGCTTTAACTCCTTTTCCTATACCAACTGTATAGAGGAGTTGCACAACTGCGTGTGTGTGTGTGTGGGTGTATGTTAGACTAGTTTAAGTGTTTATGTAGTTAATAAAGTCTTACTTGTATCACACTTGAGGTTGTTCATTGTTTGCTCATAACCGCAGTCCCTAATCATGCAGATTTTTGCTACATGCTCGGTGTAGTATTGTACAGTAAGAAAGTTATTTCCCTTAACCAGGAAATTAACGTTCTTAGAATTGACAGACAGTTGACCCTGAGAGGTCAAGTAAATACTTACAGCGGACCTAAATATTTATAATTAATTATAACTAGTTATGATTAATTATTCCTATTTCCCCTTTGAGCTGATTCGCTACAAAGGTCATGATAAAGTAGAGTCAGATAGTAATTTATTAATTAGAATGAAATACCTTAAACTGCAATAACTTAAGTGTTATTCACAGTAGTGCACAAAAATGACAGAACATTCAGGAAACCTTCTGCAACGCCATTATATAGGGTCGTCTGGTCAATAGGTGGCAATTATAGGTATGCATTGCTCACTTTTCACAATCCAATTTATGTTTTCACTTTGAAACATGTCACAATACGATAGTAAAGTCGGTCATTTCATAACGACTTGAACATATAAAAATTAAATGCTTGTGTTAACAAGCAACAAGAACTTTATCGTGAAAATATCATAAGGGTACTTCAAAATGGTTTTTATTGTGGAAAACCCCTATGTATCATTTGCTATCCATACCAAAAGTATTTCCCACGCAAACCCTAAAATACAAACAACCTGGATTACCCAAAAGAGAAGACCTGATTCTCTGATGTGAACTCCAAACCCTTATGATTCAGAATGTCAAAAATCAAACAACAAAATCACATCTGTATTACACAATGTGCATTAAGTGGACATTAAATGGACCAAACCCTTTCATCAAACCACACATATTAAAAAAACAAACAAAAAATTACAAATCCATGCACAGAGGTGAAAGTTGTTGTGGACAATATGCGAGTAATATTCTGGAGCATCTCACTCAGCATAGTAGTGTGTAAACTGCCATTTCTGAAGATTATTGATAGGATCACAGTCCGTAAGGAAGATGCTGTCAGCTTTAACTCCAGCTTCCAGACAGATGGGTCGGGAATGTCCCTCTATCATCACATGCTCCGTCTAGACATAGACATAGATGGTAGACTTTAGTCAAACAATGTTTACACACTTAAACAGAGCACAGTTCTACATTTAGGAAACCAAGAGTACATACAAAAGCTCACAAGATCATTTATAAGAGAACCTCATGCTTTTCATATAAAACATTATAAAAACAGCTTAAAATACACATAGAAACAGATATATGTGAAACACCTTCTCGATACCTGTGTGCATCACTGTGCAGTGCCCATAAATGACAGTAGTAACCTTAGTCAATATGTCAAGAAATAAACCTTATTTTAGTGGAAATTGATTAAATTTGCTTAAAGGGGTGGTTCACTGGGTTTTTTCTAGGCTTGACTGTGTTTATGGGGTGCAGTCTAACATGTTAATGCTTCGTTAAAAAAAAAAAAAAACGCATTATTTTTCACATAATTTACCTTTATTCCACACAGCTCTGTCCCTTCTCTGAGAAACGGACTGATCTTTTCCTGTTTTTATGAAGCCCCGCCCTCAGAAATAGGCGATGGGCTCTGATTGGTTAGCTAGCCCAGTGTGTTGTGATTGGCTAAACTGCCTCTAGTGCCACCTCTCCTCAGCGGCATGTGCTCTGGTTGTATTGTAAACAACGGCATTGTTAATATCGCTTATCAGTTTGAGCCCGATTGAGAAGCAGAGGATATTATTGAAGAGGATCGCGCAGA